AAAAACAATTTATCAGCCGAGTTGGAACCAAAGATGTGGAAGATACCAAAAACACCACGACAAACCTTCTCAATGTTGCTAAAAATAAATATAAGACCATGAACACCAAAAATAGCAAGTATTTCATCGAATGAAACGATCATCCAAATACAAAGTATTTCTTCAAAAAAAAACTAAAATTCAAATACTCGTCCCTCTATTGGCTTAAACTAGATAATTAAAAAAATCTTGACCGCCACAGCAGCCTCCCAAAATCCAAGCCCTCAGAAGACACGGTATGATTTTCCCATGGTGCTCTTCAGATACAAGCACCGAACCTGAAATCCACGTAAATTCAACTCATTAGATGACGGATCCAAGCACATGTTCAAGTTCATGTACAAGCTCAAAACGTCCTAGAGATCTGCCAAGTAACCTTTGACTTTCAAGTAATCTTATGATAAAACACAGATGCGTCACGTTGCAAATTGCAAATAAGTTATCATAGCAGACCGCAATTCCAGAGTTCTACGCTTATGCTTAGATAACATGCAGATAATAAAGGGAAACAAGTAATAGGTCAATTCAATGCAGCAGTAATCTAGTTCGTGCAAAGAAGGCAAGATAGCTCACATTCTGCCAATTCTTTTTCAACAAGGAGACAAGGAAGTTAACGCTGAGTTGCACATTTTGGAAGACTTGCTTTTCCTCCATGCTAACATTACCCACAGCAACTCCCATACACAAAACCTTCTTTAGCTGAAATTTTACCATGGCCTTGGTTTCATTAACCTTTGACTCAAGGGATTCTTGGTGAGTAACAAGTGTGGGGAATTTCCCTACATTGTCATACGAATAATACACATAATTAGTGATATGAAGTAAAAAGAGTCTATCTATGCAAGCCAAAAAAAAAAAAAACTTGAGCTTTAACAAGATAGTACAGATTTTTATGCCCTCAGAGATCATGAGATTTATGCTTGTGAGTCCAGATAAATGACTTGCCTGCCTTGTTAAGGCCTGGACCCAAAAGACGAGGAATCTGCTTAATGACTGCTTCAGATGCTAAAAAGGCGTGATATTTTTTGGCTAGTTTTTTAACCAATTTCTTGTTCTTGTTTAGCTTCTTCAAACTTTCCACATCCATCCAGTCCAAACCAATCTTCTCAGCCTACATAATTACATTGGTTATATATCATACATATAGAGTACAAAATTCACTACTATGCTCAAAAGAAAAGCCGGTAGCAATAAAAAAAAAAAAAAAAGATACCAACTATACAAATTAGAACAGCCTGAAACAAGCAGAAGTGCCAGATGCTAGTGCACCAGCATCCAACTGTACAACAAAGATCTAGTTGAGTTGCAACAGCATTAAACACGCATCCCAAGTATCATCCTTCTCAAACAATGTGGTGAGAAAAATTAGGAATAAAAAGCACTGATTCAATAGTTTGTCTAGTGAACGAAATTAATACCTCTTCAACGTGTTGGGCATCTCCGAGCATGCATATTTTCATCTTAGGGCGAGGGATGTGGGGCAACTTCACAGAACCACTGAATCGCTTATCCTTTTGTGGATCATAGTTCTTCAGACCAATCTGGAGTTCAATGGTCTCGACAAATTTGCGGTTTGCATTCTTGGAATCATTCATAATTTGTGAGATAGCTTCCCTCAGGGCATCGCTCTGAAGCTTACTGCACGGTCAACCCAAAAATTGAAACTGAGATATTCCGTATAGCGTAAAAGGAAACCGAATAGTCAAGCGCAACAATCCACACCGAAAATTCTCAGTCCAATTATGCTTCTCATGTTAAAACGCATGACCTAAGACGTAAATGGATGCCAAAACAAGTGTTTGGAACCAGCAGTGCAAATAGTGAACCTACAGAGTGCTCACAAAAACGAAAGACAGTCGAATATTCCAACAATGCAAATTTGAGAAGTTATCAAACAGTGACATTCTAAACAGACGGTGAACGTGATGTTTCAACCAAGAGATACTAGGACAACGCGTGTTTGAAGACTGCCAAGACAAACTAGAAAAATGAAAATAGGAATGTCACGAGTGGAGAATGAAGTTCCAAATACCTCATCTTCTAAGCTGTGCCTTTTCAGCGCAGAAGCTCCAGATCTCACTCCTGTAAATATAATTGCAACGAATTAGATCAAAAATAAAAACCAAACATTCATATATCAACGCCACGATTGTGGCACAAACAAATTGCCCAATGTTACATAACAATCGGGAAAAAAACAAACAAAAAAACAATGGTTAGAGACACCCATATTTGAGGTTGGACGAACAGAAATGATCAGATATAAATTGAAAGGGATTTTCCAAGTGTTTTTATGCCACACGAGAGGTTTCACGACCACAATGTTTACAATGTCTCAGCTTGGAGAGAAACAGAGTAGAGAAGTACCAGAGAGGCAAAACAGCAGAGCTAGGGTTTCGCAGGTTGGCGCCGCAATTTATACAGAACGGAATCGATAGTCAGTGAGAAATGGATATGGGCCGGAACTCGTATTATTCAGGCCCTGACCCAGAGCCCAGATGTGATTTTTAGGCCCTATCATATATTTCGTCCCCATAATAAGCCCAATTAGTGATATTTCGTTTGGAATTTTGGATAGAGGCAAGTTGTCATTTTCCGCCCAAAATAATACACTGATTGCCAAATATCTTTTAAAAAGAAAACTTAACCAGGCCCAAAAATTAAAAAGCCAGCGGTTGACGGAAGACGAATTCAAATGGGCATGGTTGACGGAGTTTTCTGAAGTGTCGCTAAGCTCATCCAGTCTGTGTTGGGGAATAGTCCCTTCTGACTGGTCGGGCCATGATAATTGGACCATTCGCCCAATGCCAGAATAAGGGAATTAATCGTTGAATAAATGTGAGAAAATGACAATAGAATTAACGTAACGACATTTTAGTTAAGTGAGGTAATAATTTGCTATATCATATGTTATTTAATAGCTTACTTAATGAGAATAATAGTAACAAGCCTGCCGTTATTTGAATTTCGAAGCAAAACAATGGGGTATTGAAGGCTTCAACTGTGGGGGCCAAATTGAAAGAAAATTGAGAAGGTGATGATCAGAGAGAGTGGGGAGAACTTAAGCAGCAATTACTACGGATGACGAAAGGGGTTGAATTGGCTATTCCGTTGAGGCGGCCATTGGAATTAAAATATTAAGTGAGTTCTTTTTTTTCCTTGCCAACATTAATTGAGTCTATGCATGCACAAAGAAAATAAAAGAGAGAAGAAAGAATGAGTAACAGAGAATAAGGGCTATTTAGAATAAATTGTAACCAGTTTTTTAATCGTGATTTGCAGAATATGAGATAAGTATGTGAGGGAGTTTTGTCTTAACTTATATAAAACATACTTGTTAGTAATTTTAGATATGATGGCAAACGATGCGATAATATGCCATTTTGCGTAGGAAAAGTCAAATCAAAATGTCTACAAATGTGGAGCCTTACTTTTAACACATGATGAGTATGATCGCGCCAACTTGGCACCGGGAGTTGGTCAACACATTTTTTTGCGGGGGGGACAAAGTCAGCATAAACGTGGTCAGCTCTTTAATTTCTCCCTTCTAAATAATTATTTTTTCAATATTACACACGCCAAGCTAAAATATCACCTAAGTTGTACCAAGACCTTAATCAAATTCGTTGAGATAGGGGGGGGACATGCCTGTACAGAATTATTTTTTTTATATAAGTAATGGTTTTCCATCCAAAAAAAAGTGGGAGTTTGCAATATTACAGGTGAAGTTAAATTCAAAGTTTGAAACGAGGATACAAGTGTGATCTGACTTTGTGCATGGCAAGTGAAGAGTAGAGATAAAGGAGACAGACAGGACGAGGTGTGAAGTGTGAAGGGAACAAACTGGATGACAGGCGTGGAGTTAAAGCGGAAAGTGATTAGGTTAAGCAACAAGGAAGTTGTCTCAACTGGACTTGGAACCAACTTGGCCCCGACGGCTTACCGGCCACAGCCGAGCTTCCTCTGCCCCTCACTTACCTCGCCACTTGTTGTGCCGCTTTCATGCTAAAACACACAACTAAACTTCAGATATCCAGTTGGCCAAAATAATAATAATAATAACCACAGCCTCTCGTCTGCAGCCCCCGTGGATTTATCCACAACGACACGTGATTAAACCTTGGCTGCGAGCCACCAAAAGTAGGCATGTGTTTGTGATGACGAAATAAGAGGAAAAGAGTGAAAAACGCTAACAGGGTTGTGATCAGTGTCTGGTATGGGGGCATTCATTAGAGGACAGGAGCAAGGTACAAAGATACATGTACAAGACTCGCCCGTAAGTTGACACGACAGCATTAGTGTTATTACAGGGTAGGTGAAATCACCGGCCGGCGCCGGAAAGCCCCACAGCCACTAATGTCTCAAACACTGATGTGTGCCCAGTATGTGTCCGTTTCGGACAGAACAAACACTCGCCGTCGACCCCCATTCATCACCCGCGCCTCATCTGTACCAGGAATCTGCACTCTAGTTACTCCACTGTCTACGCTACCCTACCGTCTATACTTGCTTTTAGGCTTTCTTCTGCACAATTTCTATCACGTACTCTTCCATACTCCCTTCAATTCCGCACGTTACCCTATGCTGGCCTTGCGTAGATAACCCATAGATTTTAAAGGTCATGCATCTAATGTTATTCTACAGCATATGTTAGTTGACATCAATAATAATAGTTAGCAAATTAAACCCTGAAATTTTCCAAAATAATAGTTTGGCCCAGAGATAAAAAAGAAACGAGCTTATGCAGAATAATGATGCCCATCTAACACAAATAATTGTCATTTTCAATAATAATTAAAGAAGAAAGAATAGTCATCCCCGTGAAACGGCAGAGCATAGCGTAGCGCGTACAATAGGTGTTATCCACTTATCCGAAACGATTTTTCCTCTGCCGCCAGCCGAAGCGGACGAGCCCTCTATAAAAGCCCCTCCATCAGATTTTTCCCTCTCATCCCACAGTTATGGCTTCTTCTTCAGACGCACCGCTCGCAACTCTCCATCCCGACCTCTTTCACGCTCACATCCTCAGTCGTCTTGACGGTCCGTCTCTCGCCTCCGCCTCCTCTCTGTTCCGCCGCCTGTGCCTCCACGACTCTCTCTGGCGTCAAATCTGCACTGCCACGTGGCCCTCCCTCCGTGACCCCAGTCTCCGTTCCGTCATCTCCGACTTCCCCGCCGGCCACCGTTCCCTTTTCCTCGACTCCTTCCCCACCCTCCATCGTTATTCCCGGCCCGATCATCTCGATCCTTCATTTACCCCCACAAAGGAATGGATTTCGGCCGTGGATATTTATTATCATGACAGGCCCATGTTCTCCAAGGTCCATCGGACCCAGACTCACACGGGTTGGTTCGAGTGCTCCCCTCTGTGGATCGACCTGCTTGGCGCGAAAGAATCTGTTCCGACGCCGCTTAAATACGCCAGCAAGGACGAGGATTGGATGAAGCACCTGGAGGAAAACTTGAGCCTCAGCTGGATCCTGATCGATACATCCCGGAATCGTGCGGCGAATCTGTCGAGCCGCAGGCCGGTGTCGGCGCAGCGTCACTGGTTGACCGGAGAGCTGGAGCTCGTTTACGCGGTGGTGATCGCGTGCGATGAAAGGCCGTCGGAGTGGGTCCAATGCAACATAAAGGTGACGTGCACGTGCGGCGAGGAGGTTGGAGGGGAGATGCGAGTGAAAGAGGTGAGCTTGACGGTGGAAGACACCGACGGAAGGAGTGTGAGCGGGAAGCAGAGCATGGCGATTCTGCAGAGCGCGGTTGAAAGCGGGAAGAGGAGAAAGGTGAATGAGGAAGAAGCAAAGGCGAGGTTCGAGGAGTTCTTATCCGTCAAGAGAGACAGGAGGGAGAAACAAGAGAGGAGGGATCAGGCACTGGACATGGTTTTGATTGTCGTTGTCGTCACCATGTTCGCTTTCTTGTGCTGGTTCTTCTTCTTCTGACACGAACTGGGTCTCGTCAATCATCCTTAGCTGCTTGATGCATCCAGATTCAAACGCAGCAAAAACAAATAGCAAAACCTTGGTTATAATCATTTTTACTCTGTAAATTTATGTCCAGAGTGCTCCCAAGTCCCAAGTTCATCGTAATTATTATTATTTTTTGGTTAATCATCCATCATGATTAATATTACTTGAAACACGTTATTTTTGGCGTGCTGCACTGCTAACAAAAATTCTTCGTCCTTTTTGGGGAAAAATCTCCGGCCCGGTATTGATCACAGTTTGTCAATCTGTTCAACCAATAAGACTTTACTTCTGGCCCAAAAAAAAAACCAATAAGACTTTACTCCATGCATTAGCGACTGTATTAATTCAGCTAGCACGTTTGTTAGGACATACTACGTTACTACCTTCCAAATAGAATAAAATAATTAGCCAGTTGATTTAATTAGTAAGGAATCGGCTTATAACTTATAAGGTAGTGAATTCGAATCCTTATGAGGATTTTATTGGTGGGCGATCTGTGAGAACCTTTATAAGTATTCTCTGAGTTTGGAAGTATGTCCTGGCTCTGGTGAACCTCCGGGACTGAACTCCCTTAAATTTTTGTGTATAAAAAAAATAAAATAATTAAACTGAAATACTAGTTACACTTTTATTTTAATCCTAAATATAAGATTTTTTTTTCATGTAATCTTTATAATAACAGTAGTTTCAGTTAATATACTTAATTAACAAAAATATTTTATGAAAAAGAATACTTATTTATCACAAATAATTAATTTAATTAATTTTTTAATATATTTAAATTAGTTAATTAACTTAGTACAAGTCCTAGCGTAAGACTGAGAAAGTGTCGAGACACGAAGAAAGACAAATTCACCTGAGTTTGTTATTCATTGTTTTGACGGGGAAAGGTGTGGATAGATTTCTTTTTGCGCAACTAGTCAGCATTAATCAATAAGTGACTAAGTCAGATCTAGCATCTCAAATTAAAAGACAGTTTTTCTCCCTCGCCCCAAATAAAAATGTAGTTTTTTTCAAAAAAAAAATTATCGGGCAGCACAGATTAGCTTCAGTGCTTTGCTCCTGGATAGTATAAGAGTTATCTTACTAATTTAAATAGATTAAAAAAATTAGTTAACTATAACTAATATAATTTGATTCATTTAAAATATTCATAAGTTATATTAAATTATATATTAATTTATTAGTTAGGTAAATTTAATATAACTTATATTTAGAATCAAAACTACCCTCCAAACTAATGACTAGATGACTAGTAATTTATAAGGAAGGGGATATTGTAGTGTTTTTTCCTCCAACGGATGCTAAAGCTTTTCTTACCTTGTACTGAGATCAAGGGCACCTTTATTTAAACAAGTGGTTAAGAATTTGATTGTTAACTTCCCGTCTCCTTTAGTATAAAATATTAAAAATAAAATATAAAGATTAAGATTGTAATTGAAAAAATTATTAAAATAATATTTTATAAGAATAATTGTTTGTCATATGGAATTAAACAAACCTATAGAAGTGGGACTGACTTTTATGTTTAGAATAAGATGGGAGGGATTGACTCTTTTTTTTTTTTTACCTGAAAAAAAATCTCTAATCCGTTGGTATTATTACCGTACATGTTTTCGGACTGAAGACAGAATTTTACTGTACAATAGTAAATCGGCCTTGAATTGAAAATAAGGGAGTGTTAAATTAAATGGTCATATTCTTGGAATCGCACGTCGCATTCAGCAACGGGGGTCGTTGTTTAGTGATGTGATCAGAAGTAAGAATTAGTTTGCCAACCAAAAGACAGAACTCGCAAAACGCCAAAGCTTTCTCGTCAGTCGTCGCTAACACTGTGGGATTAGGAGTGTGTCGCCATCAGGGGCTAGGATTCCAAGCTCACTCCCAATGGCCCACTTTGATAACGGAATGGAATTAAATATAGAGAAATAAACTCAGTTAAGAAGTTGTTTCCATCTTTGTTTGTTTGATATAAGATGTAATTGTTTAGACCATTAGATGAAAAAAAAATACACTATCATCTAATTATAACATTTTATTTATAATTTATAAATAAAGTATTGTAATTAGAACACGACGTAACATAAAAAAAGCCAAGTACTATTAAACAATGATATTATTTCAATTTTTAATATAAGAGTTAATTTAATTTTTATTTTAATCCTAAATATAAAATCCTAATTCATTTTGTCTTTTATATTTTTTAATTTTTAATGTAGTTTTTATAATAATAGTAATTATAACTAATATACTTGATTAGTAAAGATATTTTAAGAAAGACAACATATATTTATTAGAAATAACTAATTTAACTAGTTTATTAATCTATTTAAATTAATTGACTAGCTCTTATATGAAGAATAAAAAATAGTAACCTGGATATGATAAAATGGTGTGCATACCAGCAATATGATTGAATCTAGCAAGAGAGACTAATTACTAACAATGCGACGGATTAAAATTTGAATCTTATTCACATTTAAATTCAATGCATGAGAATGTTTCAAATAAGATTTCCTCAAAACGAGGCGTCCTTCGCATATGAGTCGTAAACGGAGCATCGTAAAACTTTTCGCATATTTATTCCCCATTGCAGAGCTACTCCAAAGAGCAGCCTCTTCTTTCTGCGCTATGGGGTCAATGGGCACGATAACATAACTATTACAGGGGGATGTGACAACCCAGGACGCAGTTTGAAGCAGTCAAACTGTGGCACTCACACCGTGTTCTCCAGTTACTTCCATCATATGACCTAATATATATATTTATATATATTCATATATTTAGAGTGTCCTCGCAATTCCTACCGACTACCGGCTCATCTCCTTGTTCTCTTGTTTGCAGTAGTTGGTGGTGGTCACTGGTGGATCATTAATTATTGGCTTTGCGTCTAAGAAAGAAAGACGCGAATGAATTAGGAACTAGGAGATTTGATAAGCAGTCGCTGGTGGATCATTGTGTCTGATGCGGTTTAATGGCTTATGGCGGAGCACCAGTCAGGTCCATTCTTTAAATTGCACTTTGAGATTCTAAGGAAATACTACTCCTGTCGTTAATATAAAATCTAATTGTTAAGTTAATTTTAATCTTAAATATAAGACATATTTTTTATATTTATAATTTTTTTTAAATTACTCTTATGAATACTCTTTCGACCATAATCAAGTAAGTAAGGAAGGAAGAACATTAAAAAAGATTATTATAGTGTTTAAAAAAATGTTATATTTTTTATAATTAATTAATTTATGTAACGTTCTTAATCTAATTAAATTAGTTAAATATATTTTATATTAAGAAAGTGTGAAAAAAATCCAAAAAAAAAATAGTCACAGAAAAAGAGGTGGAATTTCGAAGAAAACCTTAAGTAGCAGCATGCAGCAGAGGGCCATGTACTGTCCTATAACTCCAAACAGCCAAAAAGCAATTCAGAACACTTTTGAATTTCTAACTCCAATGCTTTCTGCTTTTGTCCTCTTTTGAATCTCTCTTCCTTCTTGTTACTCGTTGGAACTCCGTAGTAACAACTCCAACTCCTCCATCGATGTGGAGTGTATGGCTGTAATATAATTATACCAACGGATGCTCCAAATATTTAAGAAAAGGGAGGTACAAGTGTTTCTTTTTAGTGCTGCCAATTTTCTGTCAGACAAAGCAGCCCAATCAGTCATCAATAATCATCCCGTCTTTGGCAACTCTTGCTTGTCGTGTCCGCAATTTTTTTTTCAAATTAAAGGCCTCCTTGCACAACCCCAACATGTGACTCCCCGATTATGCCATCTCACTTTTCTTTCCCGTTCAATCGTTTCTTGTCTTCGTTTTTTTCATTCAAACTTATTTTCTTCCCATACCAATAATGAATGCTATATTCGCTATCTACTTGACATGTATCAGAGGTGATTCCAGATCAATAATCCTCTTTTTAACTTCAAAATAAGGGGTTTTAAGGATTAAACATGGCTTGGGAGAAAAATACAACTGGAAACTAGTAACTTTGTTTGGACCCTGCAAACTGAGTTTTACGTTTCCAACAAACATTTTGAACAGATGAGCAAGAGGTCGCTCTCAAAACCTGGTTACTTGTGGGGCATATCAAGAGATACTGTGAAGCGGATATAACGGCAGAAGATGGTAAAAGCAGCAGGCTTTATAGAAGAAACAAGAATTCAAACAATGATGTCTAATCTATACAGAAAAGAAAAAACCGGTTAAACTTAAACTTTCTACTTTAAAATCTGATCCCGCATGATGTTTTCCTGAGCATGTATATAATGGCCACATGAAATCAAACGAGGATGTCCCCAAAGAAGGAATCATGGAATAGGCTGACCAAATCGGCGACGAAAGGAGCGGTGGCGGGGTCCTCAATGAGACATCGACATGCACTGTGAGATTTCTTTAGGACCACTGGGCTCAGCCTGCTTGTTAAAGCTCAAAACACAGCGATGAATTCTCCGTAACATGAGCGTTTTGGTGGTTCCACCATTTGGATGGCCTTCGTCCCCGTGTATTGGTGTCTGGCTTTGATTGACCCAAATGATTGAGAATATCAGATAACAAAGTATTAGTGTTAATAATGTGATTAGGCAGCTACTTGAAAGCCACCATCATTCATAGTTACTGTTCCATGCTTCCAGCATTTGTGTCCAGATCTCCTCGTCCTGCTTTCAACTTTCTGCGATTATCTCGTCTGCTTTTTATATTTCAGCAAGAAGTTGACAGAATATGACTTCATTATACTTTAGTCTTGGGATGTGATCAAATCACGAAGCTAGAGAGATTACTGTTATGATTTAGCATTCAGTGCGCCAATTGCACCAGAGAGAAGGCGACGCAAGGAGCTGTGGACATGCACCTGCCTCTCACGTGCTTGCCACGTCATCTCTTCTTTTCTTTTTAAGGAAGTGTTCGTCTTCTTAACAAATCAAATGTTAGTAGGGTGGGTGTGTCCCTTTCTTCCCTCCACTCCCTCTCTCTTCACTTCGCTGTTTCTTTCCCCTGCTTTTTCTTTTCCCTCTCAGGATTTCTGAAGCGAAGACAAGTCTAAAGCTTCCGTTTTTATCTCTAACAGTCTAACGTAACTTTCCATTTTTTGACAGGTTCCACTTTCTTTCTCGGTCGACCCTCAATTCCCTTTAGACATTCAAAGACGCCAGGAGGGGGCTGAAGACTGAAGATGATCTTTCATGACCCACCTTTTCTTTGCCTAACAGTTTCCAGCTCACCAAAACACTGAAAAATAAAGACGATGATGCTGACCACAATTGTTTCTTGACTTCCATGAAGTCTGTGCAGGTCATTCGTCGAACTCAATTTCATTTATTCGGGAAGTTGGGTTCGTTCCCCTGAAATTCGCTCACAATTTCGAACTATGTCCTCGTGGCAGCAGACCCTCAATTTGGAGAAATCGATCTTCAGCAACAAACCCAACAAGATCAGGAAGCGAGGTTCTTCCTCCTCGTCCTCGTCTTCTTTGGTCCGAAAATACCGATTTAAGCGGGCAGTTTTGGTGCCCATGTGGAACATTAGGACTAAGTCTCCTTCTACGGGGACCCAACTCACAAAGCCTTTGTCTTCTTCTGTGATAAGTGGCAAAGAGAAGGACCTTTCAGTGTCTGCGAGGAAGCTTGCTGCTACATTGTGGGAAGTCAACGATTTGCCTGCCTCGAAAGGGAAGAAGGATTTAGGTGCAGAAAAAGTGAGAAGCAAGGAGATAAGGAAGCAGAAAGCTGCCAACTCATCGAAGCTATATTTGTCAGATTCATCATATAGTCCCATCTCTGGATCTGAGGTCAGGTTATATCACTTCCTTTTTTTGCTTTTTTTTTTTTTTGGGTTTCAACCGTGGTTCCATCTGAGGAGTGCCTTAACATTGATGTTGAACCTGTTTTGAAATTGATTATGAAGCGAATGAAAGGGTTTGAAGGTGAGGGCAGTAGAAGAAGAGAATCGGTGGCATCTCATAAACTTCAACTGGCAGATTGCTACTTGGGAGGCTTTGATGATCTTGGCAATATCAATTTCAATGAGGTCAGATTAATTTCCCTATAAAATGGGCCATGATTCTGATTTCAAATGCCCCCTTCTTATTATTAATGCTAAAAGATGATAGACTGGTGGCTTTAGTTATTTCTATTATTAATGCTAAAAGAAGATAGTGTAATGAGACTAATTTGTTCTTTTTAAAGAAAGTACTACGTCTGGTTACTAAACAAAAATTTTGGCTTTTAATATATTTCTTACAGGATTTAATTGAAAAATTGATGTAGGTTTCATATACAAGACTTATTTCACATGTTTATTAATTTCTTCTCAAATTAACCTTATTAATATTCTCCCAACAATAATCAAGTAGGAAGGAAGAGAGCTATTTTACAAAAACCTATCATATTAACTAATTTAATTAACATATTTAATCTATTAAAATTAGTTAATTGGGTTTTATATCAGGACGAGTAGTATCACTTAGTTTAAGATGAAGCCGCCAATATTCATCCGTAATTATTCTCTTATAATTGTCATCCAGATTTCATTGAGTAGTCTAGAACGCTATATGCTAATATGTAGATCTGATTAATCACTTGGTGAAAATTGAACATTAAATTCCTCCTAAGTCTTTTGTAATGAAATTCAGGGAGGTAATCAGCAAAGAAATAGTGCGTATAGCAAGGACATCGTTGAAGTCAAGAACAATCTCAGCAAAGCTAGAACTGGCTTATCTACATCGAAGAAGCTTCTCAAGGCATTAAATCAAATATGCCTCCATGAACATCACACGTCAACCATGCCTTTGATCTTAGCCCTACGCAGCGAGCTCGATCAGGTCTGCAACCAAATTGATCAAGTAATCCAAGAACAGGGTTCAAAACAGAACGATATAGAGCATCTCTTGAAGCATTTCGCTGAAGAAAAGGCCGCTTGGAAAAGAAGAGAGCAAGGCAAGGTTCGTGATGCATTATCACGCATGGCAGAAGAGATTGAAGTGGAGAAGAGGCTGAGAAGGCAAACTGAGAGGTTGAACAAGAAGATTGCTCAAGAAATGGCCGATGTAAAAGCTTCCCATTTGAAAATTTCAGACGAGCTAGAAACGGAGAGAAGGGCAAGGGAGACTCTGGAGCAAATTTGTGATGAACTAGCTAAAGATATTGGGGAAGACAGAGCCAAGGTAGAAGAATTGAGAAGAGAGTCAGCGAAAGTTCGAGATGAGGTAGAAAAGGAGCGAGAAATGCTTCAGTTTGCTGATGTTTTGCGTGAGGAAAGAGTCCATATGAAACTTTCAGAGGCTAGGTATCAATTTGAGGAGAAAAATGCCGTGTTCGAAAAGCTAAGAAATGAGCTTGAAGCCTTCCTCAAAAATAAAGGTGAAAATCGTGATGTTTCTCCCCTGTTGAAAAAAATCAAAGATATCGGATCATATCTTAATAGATGCCGCTGGGGATCTGAATCTACAGAGAAAAAGGACCATATAGATGTTGGGGATAGAGTAAAGCAAGGAGATGATGAATCGGATGATAGTGATCTCCATTCCATTGAATTGAGCTTGGACAATAACAAGAGAAGCCTCAAATGGAGTTATGCTTATGATAATGACGCAGGAGATGAACTCAAAAGAGTTTCAAGTGATGGTATAGGAAGGAAATCTTTGTCCGAAAGAATTCAGTGGGGGAATATTTGCTTCAACAAGAAGGATTTTGGCCTAAAAATACAGAAAAATTCTGATGGATTAGATCATGAAGGATCGAGTGAATTGCTCTCGAGAGCTCAGACACTTGATAAAAGCCATGAAATAGACAATTATTGGTCTAAATCCATGCCCTTGCAGTTGCAGGATGATAGTGGCGAAGCCGAGATAAGTTTTTTGCTGGAAGGAGATCAGCTGAAGCAAGAGGCTGCAGGCAGAATATAAAATTTTAAACAAGGCTTTCGAAAATTGATGTAATAGATAGGTTCTGTCATTTTTGTTTTCAATTCCTAATGTTTTTTGCCCCTGCTTTTTTTCTTTTCAAGTGTTAAAAAGTTTCATTGATCAGCACAGCATCTACGTTTGCATCGTGCTATACCTTAAAAAAGAGGTAAATAACAGTTTCTAGCTCTTCTTATTCATTCTAGTTCCAGCCTTGAGCTCCCCTGGCAAGTAATCAAGGTGGGAGTACGTCCTAAGAACAAGGGAACTCAACAGTCAATCCAAACATGACCGTTGCCACCTAACAATATCAGGAACGGATCTTCTAGCCTGAAAACAAATAGTAAGAAGATCACAATTACATTTGACTTGTAGGATCTACATGAAACAGCACCGGCCCTGACAGCACGACAGCAGATCGGGCATTATTACATACTTCCAAATGACTCAAACATCTGAAAACTGGCCTTTGTTCCTCTCCAACAGCACAATACACTAATTTAGGACCATTTCACAAAACAACGGCTATTTAGCCGCCCGCCCTGCCCGCTGCTACGACATGTAGAAGTCTCCGGAACACTCCATAAAATCGTCGGTACTATTTGGAATAGTAGAAATGAGTAATAGACAGTAAGTGCCTTGACCCACACAACCTACATTGTATGCGGCGACACTTTATTTCCTTAGATAGGAACCTCAAAATTGGGGGGTCAGATTCCTCGGAAAGCAGATACGTGAGTTTTTGGCCCATTGATAACTTAACATTAAAGCAGAGCCCACGTAACCATACCTATCCGTACAAGCCGTCCTACGTGGCGGTGGCATCAGCATTCGGCCGCCGACTCTCTCCCCAACCTCCTTCTCTGTCTAAGGCTCTAGCCCCGAAGAAGCAGACCAGAGCTGCCAACTTGGTTTTGGCGCACAGAAGCAACGCACAAATCACGATCACGGGGTTGAGGGGGAGCCATACAGACAAATTAAGGAATAACCTCTCACAAGCGAAGTCTCAAAGTCTTACCTTTCTTCCGATTCTATTCCTCCTCAGAAAGCACCTTCTGTTTTGAACCCTAAAAAGTATTTTTGCTCCGTGGAAAAGTAAAATAATGCGAGGAGAGGAGAGAATGACCGACCTGGTTTCGAGGGAAGCGCAGATGTCGATCGCTGCTTCGTCCATGTTTCCTGGATTCAGGTTCTGTCCTACCGATGAAGAGTTGATTTCCTATTATCTCAGGAAGAAGTTGGACGGCCATGAAGAGAGCGTTCACGTCATTTCTGAGGTTGAGATTTGCAAATATGAGCCCTGGGATTTACCAGGTTAATTTCTGTATCTTTCTCATTTCGTACGTCAAAATCTTTCTTTTATATTGGGGATTCCATTTATTTCCACTTCGGGGCTCTCCATAGATTGGCCTTATTGGAATCAGATCTTGTCAATTGTTGATTTTTTAACAAAGCCAATACCAGTTTAGGAAGATAAACATGAGATGAAATTACAAGACTGAACAAATATGTGTATGCATATTAATTGACAAACCAGGTTGATAATAAATTGTAGCAAAGCAAAGGAAGAGGTAGCATGTAGCATGTACTTGCCTCGAAATCTTTGATATGAGGAGTCGCATTCTCGTGGCTGTTCATGTTTGTTCATTAAAATAAAAAAATAAAAAAATAATAATAATAAGGGAAGCACAATGAAGTTCAGAGCTGTTTTGTATTTAAGTATGCTCCGAATTCAGCAGATAACCGAACCTCATTTCCATGTTGACTTATTAGTGCTGATTGATTTGTGAGCAGCCAAATCATTCATTCAATCGGATAACGAGTGGTTCTTCTTCTCCCCTCGTGGAAGGAAGTACCCAAATGGTTCACAAAGTAAAAGGGCAACCGAATGTGGCTATTGGAAGGCCACTGGAAAAGAGCGCAATGTGAAGTCAGGTTCTAATGTTATAGGCACCAAGAGAACTTTGGTATTCCATCTGGGTCGTGCCCCAAAAGGGGAAAGAACTGAATGGATTATGCACGAGTACTGTGTCAACGACAAATCCCAGGTGACCAATTAATACCATATATCAAATCCAGTTCTTAACTTGCTTTTCCTTTTGCTGTGAGGATGTGTATGAGAAATATTCTCAAGCCAGAATGTAGGCGAAGAACTTTTGAATGGACATGCACGTAATCAGAATAGCAGAAAATTCAGTGAAATCCACCTCTGACGAATTCATTTGAAACTGACTTCTGCAAATGCATGTTTGTATGTTTTAGGATTCTTTAGTCGTTTGTCGGCTAAAGAGGAATGCAGATTTTCGTCAGAACGATGCTTCAAACGGAGCATCTTCAAGTCAACAGCAGGCAGTGAATTCTCATGAAAGCAACTGTGCTGTCTCCGAAGCTGAGATAGACCAAAGGGGTGTTTCCGAACAAGATAAAGGGGCCGGATGCAGCTCAAAACGCAGCAGTTGTAGTGACCATTCTCCTTTAGTGGAGCAAATTGATTCTGCCTCTGAATCGAATCAAAGAACAGCCAACTATGACCCTGCTGTGACGGAATATTCGAGTCACCAAAAGGTACGTTTAAATAAGATTGATGAACGAGTTCTTACCCTTTTTGCTCGCAGCAGTTGCTGAAATCTGATAAACTGTTTGTTCAATATTTAATGTAGGAGGTGGATGACGAGGATTGTTATGCTGAGATACTAAAGAATGATATCGTCAAGTTAGATGATTCTTCACTGACCTTGCAAGAGGCTCACACGAGACCGCAGGATCATCCCCAGACATTTGCGTTCCAAGGCACAGCTCCACGAAGAATTAGGTTAAGAGTAGATAAATCAAGGCGTTCTGTTTCTCCAGCACTTGGTTTCCCAACCTCAAAGCGCCCATCCCAGAGTACCAACCTCTTTGGTACATTGACAAATCGAGTGCTGATATGTGTTCTCTTCGTTTTAACTTTGATAGCCCTATATCTGTCCTTAATGGGTTTGGGGAGTCTCAAACCAGTGAAAAGCTGGGAGAGATTTGGTTCCGTGTGTAAATTATGAGCAACACATCATGCAAGATTAGAGTATCTTACGTTGGTTCCCTTCCAGCGATGCATTAGCCTCCGAATTTTGTGCAGTCTCATGCCAAAGCTTTAAAACAGGGGACCGTTTAGACAACCTTCCGAGGAATGTCCAGAGGAGGAATTATGTAACTTTATACCAAAAATATATTATCGTCTTAATCATCTATAAATTTTTATTATAAAATTTATGCAGAATTTATTGAGGAGATTATGTATGAAATTTCCATCTGTGTCATCTAAAGCTCGGATGACGGAGACGAGTGAGAAATGGTATAGGTTGAAGATCAAAATTCACGCGACATAACAAAACAAAATCCCATGGGAATATAGCATCAAATTCATAAGGTGGCTTTTGGGAGGGGGTGGGACCACCCATCTGAATTTAATTCACCTTTTCTGAGGCAGGTTTTATTGTACGCGGCATCATTAACACAATCAAAACATGCGTTGTTTTATGTTATTAAATGATTCCACTGCCATAGTTAAAAAAACAAAGGCCAGGAAACGCAATTCCTATTTCCTCACAACAACGTCACTTTCGTGTTAACAAATAATAGGACCTTTGTAAGGAAACCCGATATGAAGATTCAGGTCCCTTTATTATATTTTCGGTTCCAATATGTCCCAAATAATATCTTTTTTCAGTATTGCTAAGTTGAAATCCAATTATTTTCTAGAATATATATAATTAAATTGGTTTTAATAGACATAAATATTCTCTCTCTTCTTTGTCCAATCCACTTTTGGCGTGCTTGGGGGAAAACAAAACGAAACTGTTAGCATTCCGCAGCTACTAAATTAAGACCACAGCCGACTCTTTAGTTTCCTCCTTAGATGGTCATATCGAAAAAACTGTTAGATAAAAACAAATAAGGGGTATTTGACAACATAGAAAAATATTTTTTTTTTTATAAAACGATGCAAATTTATTTTGTATGATATAAAAATATTTTTAAAGTTATGGTTAGATTTCTATAAAGCATGCAACTTGACTTCCGACGTGGACCAAGTCTCCACTTGACTTAAGCCACCAACTTGGATCGGTGCAAGCTTCTGACGCGTTGAACTTGGACACACTCTCTGTCCCACTTGAATCGTGATTTTCAGCCTTCCAAGCAACTTCCGCCTCTTCCTTATAAGTCCGACTCCTCTCCCTCTATCCTCCTTCAAAATCAACGATTGCTTCTCAACTAATAACAATCTCTTTTTGGGTTTATCTCCTGATGGGCGCAGATCAAGATCCCGATTCCAAACCCGTTGTGATCCGCCAAGTATGGGCTTCCAATCTCGATTCTGAATTTCACCTCATTCGTCAGCTCATTGATCGCTACCATTTCATCTCCATAGACACCGAATTCCCCGGCGTCATCTATCGTCCCAACATCCACCCCGCCGCCCGCCACTGTCAGCTCCATCCCTCCGATCACTACCGCTTCCTCAAGTCCAACGTCGATGCCCTGAACCTCATCCAACTCGGCCTCACCCTCTCCGACGCCCATGGCAACCTTCCTCAAATCGGATCCGCCAACCGCTACATCTGGGAATTCAATTTTAGGGATTTCGACGTTGCGCGTGACGCATACGCTCCCGATTCCATCGCCTTGCTCCGGCAACAGGGGATCGACTTCGAACGGAACGCCGCGGAGGGGATCGACTCCGCGCGGTTCGCAGAGTTGATAATGTCCTCGGGCCTCGTGTGTAACGACTCGGTGAGTTGGGTGACGTTCCACAGCGCCTATGATTTCGGGTATTTGGTGAAGATCCTGACCCGGCGGCTCTTGCCGGACGGGCTGGAGGATTTCTCACTGATGTTGAAGGCGTTTTTCGGGGACAATGTTTATGACGTTAAGCACATGATGCGGTTCTGCAGCAAAGGTCTGTGCGGGGGTTTGGATCGGCTGGCGCGGACCCTCAGTGTGGACCGGGCGGTTGGGAAATGCCACCAGGCCGGTTCCGACAGCTTGCTGACCTGGCACGCCTTTCAGAAAATGAGAGATATTTACTTTGCGAAGGAAGGCCCCCAAAAACACGCGGGTGTCCTATATGGATTAGAGCCAGTTCTCTGCTGACGGCGAAGTAAAGAAGTGAATTTGATCTATTTAATTTATCTCCCTTTGTATTATATGTAAGTAGTATGAAATGAAAATTGGGGTAATTATCCTTTATTTTGGTTGAAAAATAAAAAATCTAATTGGTCAATTGGAGCTTCAGAAATTAGTGAAATCAGTTTATGAACAACTCAGTTTAATTCATGAAACTAGTTATCTCAGTTTCTTCATAGTGATATAAATTATGAAACAATTTTGCTTTGATAATTATGAATAAGGGACTTATTTAAGGGATTTAATATATGAAATGAAGATAATGGATGGTGGTGGTTTTTTTTTTTTTATATATGATTGGGGGAAATGGGCACTTTTTATATAATGGGGGAAATGGGCCTGTGTGTGGGTCTATGTTCAGTGGGAGAGATGGACAGTGTTCTATTGGAGATTGATTGTGTCATTCTATTAGTGGGCTTACTGCTTTTCTCACCACCACCAGCCCTCCCAAGTCCCAACTACTTTTTGAAGAGATCTCTAATTTCCTATTTATTTGGTTTTAGCCTTTTAGGGCAGAAGACAACTTTCAGTCATCCTGATCTTTGAAGACGAATCTGCTCTCTGAGGGGCATAAGATAAAAAGGATTTCAGACTTTTTTGGATTTGAACATGTTAGGGCCTAATTAGGTTATCATTATACTACTTTTTATCCTTAATATAAGATCGTATTTGACTTTTATTTTGATCCTAAATATAAACCACAATCCACTTTTTCTATCATATTTATGTATTTTTTCAACGTAATCATTCTAACAATGACAGTTCTAGCCACTATAGTTGATTAGTAAGGATATTTTAAGAAAGATAACACATATTTATTACAAATAACTAACTTAACTTCTTTTTTAATCTCCTCAAATTAGTCAACTAATTCTTATAATTATGACCGGAGGTAGTAGTTTTCAAAATAAATGTTTAGTTATATAGGATCTAGGCTTTAGAGATTATGGATTTTAAGGTTCATGATTAGTTCAGGTCTCAAATTTTAGAATTTCAGGATTTTATGAGCTTGGAGGCTTATGAATTTTATGATTTTGTGTCATCTTAACTAATTTTGTATCTTCCAAACACCCAAAAAGTGAGAGAGAAGTGATTTTGATAATCTACAAGTAGATTTTCATTTGGATGCAGTTTTTTTCCCCTTCTTTTGCATAAGGGTAGCATATGGTCGTTTCGCAACAAAAATTAATGCGAAAAAAGTTCATAATAACGACTTTGGAGAAATCATGCCTCCCTTTTATGTTTGAATGTTGTCAACATCAATGGGGAAGGAAAAACTCTCTTAAAAATGATTTTTTCTCATTTAAAAAATAATAAAAAATTGGATGGACATGTAAATAAATTAATGCATGGTGTGCACAAATAAAGTGAGCGATTCAAAGTAGGAAAAACGATTTAGTACCAACAATGACATAGTATATTGACAGCTGGCAGATTCGCTTAATTATAAATCTTTATATATGCAATGCTCCTGTTACCTTTCGTCATGCAGATTATTTATTTATTTATTTATTTTGACAAGCTGAAGGTTTACGCACAAACCAAACCATCTTCGGCGTAAATCCATAGCACACAGCCGGAACAAGTCAAGTACAAGGATACAAGCTCTGAGATAAGAAATCTATTTACACTAATTGGAAGCTCTTTAATTTCTCTTAACATCACCCATTGCTTTTGGCGAAGACAAACTCCATTAATCGTCGCCCTTATTTCAAGTTGTGGCTTCTCTGTCAATGTTGAATAGCGCATGATCAAAGTTTAAAAAGGGTACTCGCGTAGATATCTCCAGGAAAAGAAAAAAAGAAGTAAAAATGATTTTATTGTTTTGTCACCCAACACATATATCCAACAGTACATAATATTGAAATAATCGATGGAGAGGGGATGATGATGTGGAGGAGGCGATTCACGAGACAGATGAACGTTTTGATGGAGCTTGTTGGTTGACAGGAGCATGGCGGAGTCATGAGGGAGGCGAAGCCTGTTGGCAGATCTCGGCGAAAGCCCTGAGGATGAGTTGGTGATGACATGGCAAATTGAGCTTAAGAAACCACTGGAGAAGCTCTCCCACCTCACTCGCTGAGTAAATCTCTCTCTCCATCATCATTTGGATGATGGAGTCCTTGAAGTCATTATATGGGTTTTCCGACTTCATCTCCACCACGACGCTGCCGCTCAGTTTCCCGCTCATGGATCCTCGACCGAGACCGACTGGGGAATGGATGCCGATGAAGTTACGGTGGTCGGAGGATCGGATTTGGATGGCAGCAGATTTTAGGCTTAGGTGTAGGGTCGTATATGTCAAAGGGCTTCGGGTTGCCACAATTGCCACACCCTCCATTTGCTCTGAAAATGCTTCTCAGCAGGTTCCTTTTATTATTCCTACTCATTAACTGAGATGACTGAGATTACTGGACACTCTGGCTTTGTGTTTTTGTCTCAGATATATATTAACATATGGGAAGGTGTGCAGGAAGATAGAGTGAGAATTGAGATGAAACTTACATAGTAAGCTGCGGGTTGCAGACTCAGAGAGGCGTCGGAAGCGTTTTATGAAGCCATTTGTGTTGACCTTATAAGCTCCGCAAGGGATTCATCATTATACGAGCAATCCTCCAGAGAAGGCATTCTATATTTTAAGATTTTCAGTGTTTGATTATAATGTGATATGTTGTTTTTTTTATTTCAAGTAATAGTGCCTCCTCCTACGCCTATATGAAGGAAGAGTTTGATATTTTAATGATTTATGGCTTTTAGAGTCAATGCTTATCTCTCTCTGTAAACCGGCTAAAAAAAATCTTCCTAACCCCAGAATAAACATAATTTAAAAGATTAATTTATGCTGCCGTGGATGAATAGATGCCGTGCAGATGACTTTTAAATCATAAAACAGAATAACAACTTCTAAATGAATAGAAACGATCATAAGACTTCTGGAAGAGTTGACGTTTAACCCACAGAACATATCATTTTCTAGGTGCCTTTTATGCATTTTCTTTCTATTTCTTTTGCCAATCGCTGTCTTCATCCTGTCTATTATCAATTCCCCTCCAGGTGTACGCTTATCATTTCAACGTAAGCTCCAATCGAAATATTGATCTGTTTTCTTGACGTCACTAAAAAATGTAAATTTTTACCCGTCGGGATTAAGAGAGAGATTCAAATATCTAAACGCAGAAGTAATAACTTCAGTCTTCAGAAAATTCATAGGAGAAACTAGGTTTTAAGGTTTAATTAATGCTTCTTAATATGTTATACCATACATGTATTGCCGTCGTGGATTTTTTTTCCCCCGAATTAAACTAAAGAACTCAAACTGAGGTCACACTCACATCAATATGTGAAGGAACAATGTTCATGATCCCCAAAAAGTCCGGTGACGCAATAGCTATAATCCGAGCCAAGTTCGATGATCATATCGTCCCCGCATTCGTATGTGAGTTAACAAGTCTGTATCGGCCATGAATCTTCGTGGTTCTGAATAAACTACTTGTTCTACTTATGGAATCTAAACTGGATCTTATCTAAACTTTGTTTAAACTTCCTTTTTAAATATACTAGAACGCTTCTTTAAATCAAGCAGGGACCATTCTTTTCAGCTCTCAGTCCAGCAAGAGCAAAGTTTTCATATAAGCAAAGTCAAAAAGGCAGTCATTTGCGTAGAGAAACCTGAAACAACATTTCAACTTTTACCCCCGAGATTTTCATGTTTGATTAGGAAATCCATTTCAAGATTTCCTCCAGGAATTTACACGATCGGAGGCATGAGAGCCTCTGCCTCGACCCCAAACAAAAGGTTTCGCGTCAGCTTGAAACCCATGATTACTGCTATTACTGCTGAACTGATTCGCGGAACTGTTTCTGCTGGATGCCGGAAACGACACTGTTCCAGAACTACGACTGGGGGTTTGATTGGATTGGGGATGTGATACTACCAGTGACTGCATTTTCCGATCAAGTCCCACGTCAGCACTGGGAGTGCCCCTACCTGAACCTGAACTCTATCCAACACCTCCACCTTTGTAAATGACGCTACCACATGAGGAGGATCCAAAGCTGCTACTACCTTCGTTAGTTTTCCATGTATTATGGTAATTGTTGGCATTTCTAAACTTGCTTTCATATTGGGACCTGCATTTTCAAGCTCCTCAAAATTATATACATACAACTATTTCTACCCGATTCCTAATTTCCTTACCCTTCCGAGAGGATTAAAAAGGAAGGGAGGAAGATGGCAAAAGAAGAGGTAATACCGTTCATGCCAGAGTGTGGTTTCCATAATATCATCACCAGAGATTGTCTGCATAATTTCATAAAAATTAATCGCAAAAGTGCCAACTTCTGTTAAACCAGATAACGGCTGCTATTTTTTACCTTTTCCGGTAGGTTCAGGCCATGAAGTAAACCAGGAATACGTTTACCACCACCTGGCAGCTCGTAATAAGCACATCTGCAGAATACAATAACATCAAGTTGGAAAAAGTTGAAACATGAATTTGAATTAAGGAAAGGAATGGACAATAGGACATGTTTTGAGATCATACATGGCAAAATCCTCCTGAGACTCAAAATCTACCTTAACATCCTCAGTGCAGAGTCTTACGAAACCCCCGATTCCATCACTATTCAAGAATGATGAGAAAGGTCAAGTCATGGGATCCAAGGGATCTCATCAATTATAGCATTAATACGACAATCCACAAACGAACCTTATGCTTATTTCAATCTTATTTGCTACATTTTGCCGGGAAGATCTAATCTTCGCCGCTAGCTTGGTAGATCCTGCAACAAACAGTAGGTCTGAACCTATTGAATTCCTAATTGCTTCTTCTTCCTGAAAAAGACACAACAGAGGAATCGAGGTTCGAGGATATTCCTTTAGCATCCACGAAAGAAAAGTTCAATTTTTTTTATCTGAAAAAAAATGAATTCTTGTTATTGAAAACCTATAAGTAAACCATACAGTTAACTCCTTCTCGAGTTTTCTTGATTCAGTCAAAAGCCGCGCTTCATCTATAAATGGAAGTTTCAACGTGCCCTGTGACACAATTGATGGTTCTGTTAGCATATTGCACTACATGGAAAAAAAAGATTTTGATGATTCTATT